CCCAGGGCCCTTAGGCAGAGCTGACCTCCGGGTCGGGCCTGGCCTTGGTCTTTGTGTCACGAGGGTAGGGCGTCCTTCCTCAGGTAGTGGACCGCGGGCTGCGGAAGTCGCTTGTGTTCGAGGACGACCTGCGCTTTGAGATCTTCTTCAAGAGACGCCTGCTGAACCTCATGCGGGACGTGGAGCGGGAGCGTCTGGACTGGGACCTCATGTGAGTGGGGGCAGGGCTGCTGGCCGGGGCTGGGGCCATTTGGGGAGGGGTGGAGCCGGGGCCTGGAGCTCGGAAGGGTGGCCTAGAGCCTGTGGCTCTGAGTTAATAGGCTGAGCCAGCTCTTGGGGGTATGGCAGAGGAGGCCCGGGGTCCCTGGATATGAGAGCAGTCGGTGCTTGGGGCGTGGCCTAAGGCCTGGGGGCGGGGTTGGGGCGGGGAATAGGATCCGGAAGCTAGGGCTGACGGCCTGGGAGGAGGACCTGGAAATCTAGGGGCCTGGCCTGTGGGGAGGGGGCTGGGTCAGGGCGTGGAGGCTTGCTGAGGCTCGTAGGGGGTGGGGGGTGGCTAAGATGTGACCTGAAGCCTGTGCCAGCCTGGGGTGGGTGTGGCCAGGGCTTGGCGGTGTTCCCGGAAGCTGGGGACCTGGCTGCCTTGTAGGGCATAGCCAGGGACCAGGGGCCTTAGAACAGCACTAGGTGGGGTGTGGCCAGCATATTTCTTGAACAGTCCTTCGGAATCTCCTCTAGATCAGTTGGATCCACCTCCCTGCCCCTGTCCTTTCTTCCCTCCCTCCCTCCTTCCCTGCCGTCCTGTGGGAGGGGGAGGGGGGGGCCTGGTGCCGGTTCTAGGCCCCAGACTGTGGACCATGATGCCCCTTTGTCCCTGACTACTCACCACATTCCCGCACCTTGCCCAGCTGCCCCACAGCCTTGTGAACTCAGCAGCCTCCCGCCTGGCCCCACTCCTTCCCGTGGTTCAGCCTCAGAGAGGTCCAGGGCATCCTTCCCTTCCCAGCTCCGAATCCTTCCATGGCTCCCCAGTGCCCTTGGGAAAAAAAAACAACAACCCAGTCTCCTCCCTGCACGCCTCAGCCCCTGAGGTCCTCGCTGGCCCGGCCACACCAACCTCCTCATCGTTCCCCAGACACCCCAAGCCCGCTGCCACCCCCGGGCCTGACGGGGGCTCGCTAGATCTCTGATTTGCTTGGTTAGCCTTCCCCGGCCGGCGGGAAGAAGGTAGGTGATGGGGCCCTAACTCTGCACCCCAGCTACGTGGGCCGGAAGCGGATGCAGGTGGGGCACCCGGAGAAGGCTGTGCCCCGGGTGAGGAACCTGGTGGAGGCCGATTACTCCTACTGGACGCTGGCCTACGTGATCTCCCTGCAAGGCGCCCGCAAGCTGCTGGCGGCCCAGCCGCTCTCCAAGATGCTGCCTGTCGATGAGTTCCTGCCCGTCATGTTTGACAAGCACCCAGTGTGAGAGGGGGTGCGGGGCGCACGTGGGGCCGGGCTCTTGCTGTGTGTCTGTCCCGGGTGGGTGGGCGTGGGGCTGGCGGACCCCAGGGACGGGTCTTGTCCTCTTCCCGCTTCTTCCTCTGCGCTCCCCTGCCCGCTTCCGTCTCCCAACCCACCGCTGCCTCTCCCCTCGCCACCCCCCAGGTCCGAGTACAAGGCCCACTTCTCGCCCCGCAACCTGCGCGCCTTCTCGGTGGAGCCCCTGCTCATCTACCCCACGCACTACACGGGGGATGATGGGTACGTGAGCGACACAGAGACCTCGGTCGTGTGGAACAACGAACACGTCAAGACCGACTGGGACCGCGCCAAATCCCAGAAGATGCGGGAGCAGCAAGCCCTGAGCCGCGAGGCCAAGAACTCCGATGTGCTGCAGTCTCCACTGGACAGCGCCGCCCGCGATGAGCTCTGAGGGGTCGCGGCCCGAGCAGCAAAGCAGGCGTCGCTGGCCCGGCTTCCTTGTGCGGGCCGGGGACAGAAGGGCCCCCTGCGGACCCCAGGCAGGCCGCAGAGGGCTCTCCACGCAAGGTGGCTTCCAGCCAGCTCTGGCTCAGCAATCACGTGCACGCAGGCAGCTTTAATGGAGTGCCTACTGTATGCCGGGACCAGGGCCTAGAATGGGGAACCGGATGGGAACGAGACATGGTTCAGATCTTCAGGTGCCAAACACAGAAGCGCTCGCCAAGTACCAGGCTTCTGTGTTAACGGCAGTGAGCGAGGCATCGTTATTCCCTAGGCCGGTGCCGGTGACTGAGTCAGTCATCAAGCTTTTATTGACAGGCCCCCCCCCGCCCCACTGCCCCAAGAATCAGCACTAGCGATACACAGTCATTGTTCTGATTCATTTAAGTATTTATTGAATGCCTACTGTGTGTTGGGCACCAACCGTTCTAGGCTCTGAGAATATTGAGATGCATAAGACCCTTTCATTCATTTCTTTGAACAACATATCAAGCACCCACTATGTGCCTGGTACTTGTGACACAGAGACAATTTCTTACAGACTCAGAGCATTTATCGAGTGCCTGCTGTGTGCTGGGAACACTGAGCTTGGTGCTGGAGATGAAGAGAAACAAGGTGCTTTGCATTTTTCCATTGGTTTCTTCCCTACCCATCTAAAGAGCGCCTACTGTGTGTACCCATGTAAAGAGTACCTGCTGTGTGCTGGGCATTAGTGGTACAGTATAACACTCGCCAGGTGGGCACTGGATCACCTCTGTGTGTGCCAGGCCACATGCCAAGTGCTGGGCCACCGAGATGAACAAGATGAGTCTTTTATTTCTTCATGCAGCAGGCATTTATTGAACGCCTACTGTGTACCAGACCTCATAGACTCCCAGTGGGACTGGAGAATGATTGGCTGAGTTTGATCCCTGTCCACCCCCACCCTCCCACCCCGTCACCCAAGCTTGTGCAGACAAAATCCCACTCCCCCACCTGGGAGGGAGGGTGGCTCTTCCCTCACCGGCGGCAGCCGTGGGTCCCAGTGACCACATGGCCGCACGCAAGCTCCCCTGGACCTAGCCCCCCTGGAGGGGGCAAGGGATGAAGATGGGGGCTGGGTCTCCCATGCTCACCCCTGCTTCTGTTTTGACCCATCCCCCTGTTGGCTTGGCCTCCCTGGTCTGCAGCTCATGTGGGCCCTGCCTGCTCAGCAGTGTTCTTGTGTTCAAGCCTTCGGTGGGACTGTGTGTGGGAGGGGCCTGGGGGGGGGTCCCCGCCTGAGGCCTGGGCAGGACGTTCCCCAACACGGGCTGGGGGCCCTGCTCTGCCTTCCGCCTGGGACGAATGTCAGAATCAGCAGTGCTTTGCTCTCTTCAGGATGAACTGCTCGCTGGGTCAGGTCCCGGATAACCTGCTTATTTTTTTATTAAATGTCCCTGGTTGGTTTTCACATAATTCTGTGTTCATTTCTTGGTCCACTGCTCCGCTTCCCACAAGCATGCGCTCACACTCCGCACCCCCGCTGCTGGCCGGTGCTGGAGGAAACCAGGCGCTGGAGAGAAGCCCACTGGTGGAGTGAGTGTGGGGTGGGGGGTAGTGAGAGCCCCAGAAACCTCGCTGAGATGGCCCAGGGACAGCTGGCCACACGCACCGCATCCAGGGGGCTCAGCAGGATTGCCGCGATGACAGATTGGGGAGAGAGGCTGTCGTGTTTTGGGGTCTCTGGAAAACAGGCTCCCAAGATGAGGGGTTGAGTGGGGATGGGAGACTCCAAGAGAAGGGGTGCCAGCGAGCACTAGACTCTGGGCAGCTGGGGACCACAGGGGACAGCATCAGAGTGGCCTCACCCCAGGGACGATGGGGGTGGGGCGTTTATCCTCACCCAGCGGCCTTTGGATCTTCTTGGTCAAATACTTAAAGGTTCTCAAAATTCTCAAGCCCTTGGAATGTGTAGGTACCTACCCAGGCCTTTTACAAGATAATGCAGGTGGTGCGTGATCCTTGTGGAAGAATTAGAACATAAGCGTGATAAGATTGCACCCAGTTTTTTCAGCAATTTTCTTTGTTATTATTTTGGGAGAGAGAGAACGCAGGCGAGCGGGGGAAGGGCAGACAGAGGGAGGGAGAGAGAATCTCAAATGGGCCTGCACACTGTCAGCGCAGAACCCGATGAGGGGCTCGACCTCCTGCACTGTAAGATCATGACTGGAGCCAAAATCAAGAGGTGGAGGCCCAACCGACTGAGCCCCCCGGGCGCCCCTCAGCAATTTTCTTTTGAAATTTAACAACATATTATGGACGCTGTAATCAGTGCAGACGTCCATCAGTTCTTTTCTGGGTCGTCACATGCAAAGTTCCGTGACGGTGACAGACCATCATTCACTTGGCCGTTCCAACCACAGAGCGTCACAACCCGATGGTGAGCAGGACACATCTTTCCCGGGAGTCCTTGCCGCAGTTGGGTGAGTTGATACAGGCGAAAACGCTGGAGTAATGGGTGAGCACGTCTACTTTTGTGGCTGCCATAGTTATTCTTGTTAAGTCCTTAGTGTTCATCGTGTGTTTACAGGGCGGGGTGATGCGAGTTTATTAACTAATCCCGTCTCATAGAGACCACTGGAGTCATTTCTTGCATGTGCCAGTTACACGGGATGTTTTGAAATCTTACTATAACCCAGTGGGTCTCAAATGGGGTGTTTTTGTTCCTTGGGGACATTTGGTGATGTCTGGGGATGCCTCTGGGGATGGAGGGTGTACTGGCCTCTGGTGGGTAGAAGCCAGGGATGCCACCAAATGTCCTATGACGCACAGGGCAGCGCCATGAGAAAGATTGATTTGGCCCTAATAGTCCACAGTGCTGTGGTTGAAAATCCTGCACCAATTCCGTGCAGCCTCTTGGGGACATGTGTCTCTTGAAAGGTCTTTTTTTGTGGCATGAAGTTTCCTTTGTTTTTCCATCCCTCTTGCAAGGACCCTTGTGATTACCTGATTACCTTTAGGGCCCACTTGGATAACCCAGGAGAATCTCCCACCATCTCAAGATCTTTAATTATATCTACAATGTTCCTTTTGCCATTTACGCGCATCCCTGTGCAGGGGCCATGCTAAACTTCTCTGTATTGTTCCAATCTTAGGATACGTGCTGCCAGAGAGAACGCTCCTTTTGCCACTTAGAGTAACATTCACACGTTCTGGGCAATAGAATGTGGGTATCTTTGGGGGAGGACACTGTTTAGTCCACCACATTCACCCATTAGCATGCTGTGATTGTGGCTGGGTCGGTGGATGTATCATAACATATTGGGTATCATAATGCAGCATATCAGTCGGGATTAAGGGTGGGAAACAGAAACTAAGAGGTCTTCTGGGTTTGTTTGTTTGTTTGTTTTTTAAATGTTTTTTATTTATTTCTAGGAGAGAGAGAGAGAGAGACAGCGTGAGCAGGGGAGGGTCAGAGAGAGAGGGAGTCACAGAATGAAACAGGCTCCAGGCTCCAAGCTGGCAGCCAGCACAGAGCCTGACGCGGGGCTCGAACCCACGAACCGCGAGATCATGACCTAAGCGAAAGTCGGACGCCCAACCGACTAAGCCACCCAGGCGCCCCTGTTTGTTTTTTTTTTTAAGTCCACTGTATGCTCAACGTGGGGCTTGAACTCATGACCCCGAGATCAAGATTCCCATGCTCTACTGACTGAGCCAGCCAGGTGCCCCGAAATACCAGTTGAGGTCTTTAACAGAAGGGGTTTCATACAGGAAACTCTGCTGCTGTAGCATGAAAGCAGCCACAGACTGAGCTGCATGAGTGAATGGATAAGCATGGCCGTATGCCAATAAAACTTTATTTACAAAAACAGGCAGTGGGCCGGATGTGGTCCAGGGGGCAGAGTTTGCTAACTCTTGGTGCAGAGGACCAAGACCAGGACTGGTCCACAGGAATGATCCTGCAGAACTGGCTCCCCAGCGGAACCGAAGCTCCCCAGAATCAAGGCAGAGAGTCAGGTGGCCCTTGAAACCTCTGACGTTGGGCACACACCCTGTATCTGTGATCCAGAAAGAGAATGCCACCCAGGCGCCCCCACAACTGCTTTTCAACGCCCACCAAGCCTGTCACGGGACAAGGGACTGCAGATTCTGGAACATCTGAAATGTTCTGGAACATCTGTGTCCGTGTCCGGAAGCTGGTAGAGTGAAGGGGAAGCAAAACCCAAGGCAGCCCCAGTTTCTTGTGCCTTCCTGACTCCCACAGGCACCTGCATCCGTGAACCTGAGCTCGTGCGCAGCTGCAGTAAAGTCCCTGAGCGTCGCTACAGCTTTGCAGCCTCTGCCTGGAAAGGGGTTGGATCGGGGCGGGCTCTGAGGTCAACCTGCCACTTCCTCCTCGTTTCTCGCTGCACGTTATGGCGATGGTAAGAACGACTGTGTAATTGTAGGGTGCCTAATCATGGAACCTATTATATGTAATTGCAGGATTAGGAACAGAGTAATTATCCTGCAATGTAATAAATTATGTAATGAAATGTAATCTTACATAGATCATGAATCACATAATTGGGTTACACCCTCCAGGAAGCGGGTTATCTTTTTAATGTTTTTTTTTTTTTTTTTTTTTTTTTTATTTCTAGGAGAGAGAGAGAGAGAGACAGCGTGAGCAGGGGAGGGTCAGAGAGAGGGGGAGTCACAGACTCTGAAACAGGCTCCAGGCTCTGAGCTGGCAGTCAGCACAGAGCCCGACGCGGGGCTCGAACCCACGAACCGCGAGATCATGACCTAAGCGAAAGTCGGACGCTTAACCGACTAAGCCACCCAGGCGAAGCGGGTTATCTTAACATTCCCTGGATGGTCCTGCCAGGCTAACCGGTGGTGTGGTGAGGGGTGTGGGTAAATGGGGGTGGGATTAGGGTAGATTAAGGGGGACATGGGGGAAGTGCAGGAGCACAGGGTGAGGTTGGGGCTGCGGCTTCAGGTGACAGTGGCGGGTGGGGTCAGCACCGGGGTGGTTGCTGCAGTTTAGCCTAAGGTTAGGAGAGGTGAGCAGAAGCAGGAGGGGAGGTTGGGTAATGGATTAATCAGGTCAGAGGATGGCAAACCATCTGCCCAGCCACCTGTTTTTCTTTTTAGTTTTTAAAATTGAGGGGCACCTGGGTGGCTCAGTTGGTTAAGCATTGGACTTTGGCTCAGGTCATGATCTCATGGTCTGTGAGTTCAAGCCCCACATCGGGCTCTGGGCTGACAGCTCAGAGCCTGGAGCCTGCTTCGGATTCTGTGTCTCCCTCTCTCTCTGCCCCTCCCCTGCTCACGCTCTGTCTCCCTCTCTCTCAAACATAAATAAAGATTAAAACAACAACAACACCAGACAACAGACAGGGCTGTACGTTGAAAATGAGCGTGTCCCAACTTGCTTGAGCTGAGTGACAACCACCCAATGAATGTCCTCGGTCCAGATCCCGGCTCTCCCTTCTCTGCAAGATCTTAAGCTGCGTCTGTGGGTGGGAAGTGTGTTCACAACAGCGTCTGTGTGTATCAAGTGCTACGTGAGCGTTTTTGGTTTTTGGTTTTTTGCCAATATGGGCGTGAAAGGGAGCCACTGCACGTCTGAAGCATTTTGTTTTTTCTATTTTTTTAATGTCTGCTGTTAATAAAATATTTTTACAGAGACCAAAAAGTCAGAATAGTGCAAAACATCTCAACACCATGCATTCATGACCACTTCTCGTTGGTTTTTAAACATTTGTTCCAAGTCACATATTTACAGAGAAATGGGGGCATCCGTGCGGACGCCAGAGCAACGGGATGGAATTAAAACAAACAAACGGACAAACGGCATTTTGATTTCACATTTGCAATCACATGCTAAGAGAAGGTGTGTGGAGGCGGAACCTCCCCGGACTGCATGGCCGGGTCTGGTGGGGGGGGGGGGGAGTGTCTCAGGGTGCCAGGGCCAGGGGTGAACTGTAAGTCCCCCTGGCCCTGTGGCCTGGGATGCACAGGGGACCCTCCGCCTGTGATCTGTATCTCCAGAGAGTCACTATGGTTAGGCAGGGGTTGGGGGATAGGGAGGTCTTAGTCGACACCGTCATCTTGATTTCTCTTAAAAAAAATAAATAAAAGGCAAAGAGAAAAGCAACATGTGTCAGCGAAGACGACTTTGGTCCTTGACAATTCTTAGGAAAGGGTGTCCAGGGGGCAGACGGTGTCGTGATGCGAACCAAACCCCCAGCGAGCTCCCCTCCCGCTCCACTGGGGCAGCAGAGTTTGGGGCGACTCCGGGCTGTCCCTGCTCCGCCCTGCCCCTCAGGGTCCCCATCTGCAAAATGAACAGCACACAGTGTGGGGGACAGAAAGGTCTCTGAGGTCCCAAAGATTTCTAGTTGGGTGTTAAGTTTTTTTGCATCTCTGATGGGGGCACGGTGAGGTGTCAGGCTCCGGGGCCTGAGAGGGACTGCGGGTCGCGGCTGGGCACCTGCTCATGTGGCCTAAATCCTCCCAGGTTGGCTGGGGGAGAGCCAGAGAGCACAGCGGGCTCCTCTTCCTTCTAGATCCTGGATTTCATTTTTTCCCCTCTGTTCCTGCATCTGCCCACCTCTGAGTCTCTCTCCATCTCAAGGTCTCTGTGTCCCACCGATTTCTTACCTCCCCCCGCTCTCTCCCCATCCTTCCCTCCTCTTCTTTGTGTCCTTACTCTGGGACACTGTCCCTCTCGTGGGCGAGGGGGTGCGCCGGGAGAGGGGATGGGCTCTGTCCAAGACGTCCCTCAATGTCGCACTCCCCTTACCCTGCCAGGGGCCAGCCCCACTTCACCCTTCCCCTGACCCCTGGAAATCTAGGACCAGCCCCTGGCGTGACATGAGGTCCGAATATAACCCCTACACCCCACCAGGGCTCAGAAGTTCAGGGACCCCAGGTGAGGTGGTGAGTGGCCTTGGGGAAGACCCTGCCCCTGTCTGAGCCTTATTCCAACACAGGGACGTCCTATTTCCAAAGGCTTCCGGCTGCCCAGACTCCTTTCCTTTCCTGTCTCGTCCTCTCTCCCCTGCGTGTCCTGAGACTCAGCCACAGTCTGGCTGGAACACCTTCCATGCGCCCAGGTCTACGTGGGAGGGGCAGGTTGGTGTGGACAGACATGGACAGACATGCATGCGGACCCTCCACCCCAAGACCATTCAACTACGCGTACCCTCCCTGTCGTCCCCGCACCCAGTCTGTGCTGGGTGAACTTGGGGGCTATCAAGAGGCCTCAGACCTCAGTCTGGGGGGAAAACAGAGCCTGTCGCAGACACCCCCCTACCCAAGCCCCATGGCATCAGGGACAGAGGGTGGGGACAGGCGCTGGGGAAGTCCTGAGGAAGAGCAGGGCGGGTTTTCTACAGGAAAGGATATTTGTGATGAGTTTTAAGGGATAAATAGGAGTTCCTGGGGGGGGGAAGAAGAGGGAGGAAATTTCTAAAAGAGCTGTAGCCCGGGAGATGGAAAAAAATCATTCAACAAATACTTGAACCTCCTTCCATGTGCCTGGGCTGATGCTGGGAAACTTCACACACACGCACACACACACGCAGGCCTTGACCAGAGACTCCCAAGGACTCTTTTGGGAAATAAGTTGGCTCTCTCGGGCAGAAGCTCAGCGCCCCCCTTTCCTGCTGGTCACCCATAAATCCTGCAGGCTCAATCCAGGTCACACTAAGTCCCCTTTGGCTGTTGCTGGTGTTCAATCCACCCCCCGATGGCCACAATTTAAGATCTGCCCCTCAGTCCATGTGACAGAGCTTCTCAGCTCCCCCCTTGCCACCTCCCAGCCTGCCCCTGGCCCCCGCCCCTCCCCCACTGTCCTGCATGAGACCTTGCATCCTCACCTCTGGTTCAGAACCTTCAGTGAACCACACCTGCCGAGACTCAGGGGGCGTGCAGCACCTCCGGGTAGCACAGGAAATGGTGCCACTTCTTCCAGATGTGTCCACGTGCCAGGAAGCCATCGCTATAAACACACAACTCCCAATACCTAGGGTTTGCACATGGCCTCCTCAGAAATGCCAAACCCTTGGCCAGTGCACAGCGAGAACAACCATACCCAGTGGCCGTGGGCTCATCGAAGGGGTGGGGTTTTTGTTTTTCCTTTTTACTGTATCTTCCAAAATCTTCCCAGGAATTAATTTCAATAC